CTTTGGGAAAGTCCAGTAACCTGGGTGTCACAAAAACAAAAGATTATGGCTTTATCTTCTTGTGAGGCAGAGTATATTGCAGCAACGAGTGGAGCTTGTCAAGGAATTTGGTTAATGAAATTACTGGGCAGTCTACAAGGCAGAAACAACATTAAACCTTTGCTGAAGATAGACAATAAATCTGCAATATCCTTGACCAAAAATCCGGTGTATCATGAGAGAAGCAAGCATATAGATACACAGTTTCACTTCATTAGAGAATGTCTCGAAAGGAGAGTGATAGATATTAAGCACACAAGAACTGAGGAGCAATTGGCAGCTATTTTGACAAAGCCCCTTGGCAGGCAAAGGTTCATGGAACTCAGGGCAAAGATTGGAATGCTAGACACAAGAAAAGGCAAACAAGTTTAAGGGGGTGAATGTTGGATAGTATAAACTTGTTAGTTACGTTTGTTAGCTAAAATATTATTATTAATATATGTATGTAAATAGGTTAGTTTCCAATATATACGTGGGTATGTACGTGTGCATGTATCCAGAGCCGTCCATAGATGGGAGGCACCTAGGCAAATGCCTAGGGCACCATCATTGTGAAGGGCACCATTTAAAAATCTATTAATAGTATGTATGTAGTATAATGCTAAAATCTCCATAGATAAATTAATTGTAGTGGCCGAACAAATGAAAGACGAAAGATCATTCTTAATAGATTATGTGTCCCATTACTCCAATCTACCAAATTCTGTTTTAGAATTATTGTTTTCAATTTCCGAAATGGATGACGCCAGAAACCCAAAAAATATTTTCGTCTCTCGTACGGTATGAATTTACTCAAATTCATTTTTATGGTAAGTGAACATTATATTTAACAAAAGTTTGTACGGAGTATTTTATACTCCTTTTAAATTTAACTTCACAGAGATTTGAAATACTACGGTGTATTAAATATGGATTGTGGTTGACTTTTTTAATCCGTGGATTTTTAAAAAAGTTTATGAACTTTTAAATTCATAGACTTTCTTATGAATGAATTCTATTGACTTTTAAACCCATGTATACGTTTAGAAACTTTTATAAAGTCCATAGACTCTTAAATCCGTAATTGCAAGCAATTACTCCATAAGATTTTATACAATTTTACATTTCAATTTATGTTTTAATATAAAATTGTAAGCAATTACTCCGTACATGACATTTCATGTCTAACAGTTTTTAGAATTATAAAGATGTAATTTAGTTTTTGCCTAGGGCCCAAAAATTCCTAAAGACAGCCATGCATGTATCATGTAGGTTTTTTAGTCCACTTGCAATGTAACCACCTTGATCCTCGTCTATATGATGGAGGTGCAGATGTGAGAACTTGTTAAGATGGTTTTTCCTCCACAAAATATTAATACAATATATTATGAATGGAGTAAAGGGTCAGTTTGGTCCTCGAAGTTGCAAAAAAGGCGTCAAATAAGTCCTTATATAGAAGTTTCTGTCCGGACGTGCCATTTGAGGTTGTTCCCGGTGGAATTTTGTGATAAATTTTTTTGAGCATCTTATTCATTAAGTCTAGTTTACTCATACCAAATTTCAGCTAAAAATTCAATCGGGAAGACATTCAAATGAATTCTTGAAGATAATAGCGCTTTTAACGGCACAGTTATCTTCAAGAATTCATTTGAATGTCTTCCCGATTGAATTTTTATCTGAAATTTGGTATGAGTAAACTAGACTTAATGAATAATATGTTAAAAAAAATTCATCAAAAAATTCCACCCGGAGCCACCTCAAATGGCACGTCCGGACAGAAACTTCTATATAAGGACTTATTTGACCCCTTTTTGCAACTTCGAGAACCAAACTGACCCTTATCCCTAAAAGTCCCATTATGAATGCTTTGATGGCTATGCGTGGTTTCTGTTCACGTAGATAGTATACTTATACTTGATATTTAGTGCATGCATATGTTGGTTTGTTGCGTCACTTTGAAGAGTGCTTGAAACTCGTTTTGATATCTTTACGACCTTTAGGTTGTTTTTTTATCGTGCTTTTAGGTTGTATTATAATAAGCTCTTAAAATGATATTCATGACTGATAAACCACTACAGAATTCTGATACCTCAACAACATAACATAACAAAAAATTTTAAAACATGTCGAATGACTGTTGATTAGTATATATTTGCATTTAAAAATTGAATTTACACCCTGTTTTCGAAAGAAAAGTGCAAATAAATTAGTGGAAAATAAAACAGAAAGAATTTAAAACGGAGTATGAAATTAAAATATGGGATAATTTGAGTTTGCACTCCATTTTGTTGTGCAATTGGACTTTGTAACCCGTTTTTAAACAGCTTTGTTTTTGCACCCCCAACCCCATATGAAAAGACAAAAATGCCCATCCATTAACAATTGTGTTGGCTTTCAACATATTCTTGATTGAGGACATTTTTGTCTTTTCATATGCGGTTGGGGAGCAAAAACAAAGATTTTTAAAAACGGGGTGCGCAATCCAATTATCACAATAAAATGGGGTGTAAACTCAAATTACCCCTAAAAAGTAAGGGCCTGTTTACTAACAAAGATATTTTCTTGTTTTCTACTTCTGTTTTTCGTTCTCCAATTTTCTGTTTTTATTTTTCAGTTTTTCTATCTCCAATTTTCTGTTTCTATTTTTTAGTTTTCCATTTTCAAATTTGAAAACATGTTCATCAATTTTTTCACACAGTTCTCCAATTCCACACCCTTGACCCCTACCTTTACCCTTACCACGATCTTACACTCTTCCCATACTCCATCACAACCCTTCATGCCCACCCATACCTACTCGTAGGGGTTGGGGTAGGGAAGTTATGGGTGGGGTGGGGTAAGGGGTATGGTCGGGATGGGGTGGTAAGGTCTAGGGGTAGGGGGTTGGGTGGGGGTGGTGGGTGGGTTAGGGTTAAGGGTGGGGTAGTGGGTAGGGTTGGGGTAAGGTAGGGGTAGGGTAGGGAGTTAGGATAGGATGGCGGTAGGGTGGGGTCGGGACCAGGGTGGGGCCAGGGTAGGGAAGGGGTAGGGTGGGGGGGTAGGATGGCGGTAAGGGTGGGTGTAGTGGGTAGGGTTTGGGGTAAGGTAAGGGTAGGGTAGGGAGTTGAGATAGGATGGCGGTAGGGTGGGGTCAGGACCAGAGGTGGGGCCGGGGTAAAGAAGGAGTAGGGTGGGGGTAGGGGTAGGGTAGGGAGTTGGGATAGGATGGTGGTAGGGTGGGCCCGGGATCCGGGTGGGGGTGGGGGTAGGATGGCGGTACGAGGGTGGGGGGTAGGATGGCAGTGGGGTGGGGCCGAGGTAGGAGGCATGTGGTAAGGGGTAAGGTAGGGGTAAGTGGTAATATACGAGGGGTGGGGTTAGGGTGGGGTGGGTCGGGGTGGGGTCGAGGTGGTAGGGGGTGGCGGTAGGGTAGGGTGGATCGAGGTGGGGTCGAGTTGGTAGGGAATGGCAGTAGGGTAGGGTGGATCGGTGTGGGGCCGAGGTCGGGGCATGTGGTGGGGGGGGTGGGGTAAGGTCATTATAGGGAAAAATGAGTATGCGGGGTGGGGGTTTGGTGGGTAGGGTAGGGTAGGGTAGGGGTAAGGGGTAAGGTACGAGGATGGAGGTACTGGAATGGAATCGACATCGGAGCGGGACCAGACCCACCACTAGGTGTAAGTATGCAAATTCATTGCAAAGGCACTATAGCATATGCGTTTTCCAAATTTGGAAAACTAGTAAAAGTCACTTCTCCAAATTATTAAGGAAAAGAGAGACATGTTTCATTTTTTCCGTTTTGGAAAACGATTTGGTAAACGCGTTTTTCTTTTTTCCTTTCTCCAGTTTTCCAGGAATTTCTTTGGTAAACACGTTTCCTGTTTTCTGTTTTCCAGTTTTCCAGTTTTCTGGAAAACTGGAAAATATTTCTGTTAGTAAACAGGCCCTAAGGATTTCATTGTAAATGGATAAAGTCAAGATGGTGTAGCAAAGAAAATTGTTTATGAAGATGTCACAATTCATTAAATAGTAAAAATTACCTATATAGGATAAAAAAGTGGTCCAAGAGCACAAATAGGAATACATATTTTAAATCCCCCCTAGTAGGACTATTTATGTGTTTTTAGACAAATATAAATCTGATCTTTTAAAATGTCTTAATTAACAATAAAATCATAAAAAAACGTAAAAATATATTAAAAACGTATAAAAACTAAAAAAATTATAAAATATTTATAATTTTTTTAAAAAAGAAAAGAAAGTTAAAAATAAAAAAAACGCCGCCACCTCTGCCACCCCAACACCACTAGCTCCCATCACCGGTTGGAAATTTGCCAACATTTTTAGTAATGCCATAACAATGGCATGATGAAGAGTAATAATGCAATTTTCTTGACATCTTCGGAAAAAATGACATTTTTTACAAAAACAATTGGCAGAATTTTCACTGATCGGTGGTGTTGTTGTTGTGAGGAGATGAGAAAGGTATCCATATTTTTTATGTATTTTGTTTTAAATATTTTTATTTTACAAATATTTTATTATTTTTCTATATTTTTTTACGATTTTTTATTATTTTTATATTTTTTATGATATTATTATAAATTTAGACATTCATTATGAATTAATACCCTTTGGAGTATTTAGGATAGAAATCAATGTTTAGTCCTACCTCGAGGGAATAAAAAAGACTTCCAAAATAGCTCTATTTGTAAATTTTAGGTTATTTTTAGTCCTATATTGAGAAATTTATATTCATTAAATGAAATGTCTTGATTTCATTTGTCCACTTGTAAGAGGTACCAGAACATCATAAAATAAGAACGCACCGTCGAGCCACCCTAATTCATCAGTAGAGTTATTTCTTCCATCAATTTTTTGGAAAGTCTAGTCTGTGAAAACTTGGAATGGAAGGGAAAGTTACCTATTGGATTACAAGATTGAGCACCGACCTCAAACAAAAATAAATACCCATTCGCAGTTCCATACTTCCATTCGGTTTGTTATTAGATTAAAAAGTAAAAAACAAAATCCTAACTACGTACGTACGTATTTCCAAAGCCTCCCAAGCCCTAATTCATCGATAGAGTTATTTCAATTCTTCCATCAATTATGGAAGGTCTAGTCCCTGAAAACTTAGAATGGAAGGGAAAGTTACCGATTGGATATAAGTTTCGTCCTACTGAGAAAACACTTCTCAAGGATTACCTTCTTCCTAAGGTTAATGGTCTGGGTTTCCCTCGAGGCATCATCCACGAGGCTGACGTTTACCGGCAGCAGCCGTCCGATCTTCTTCTTCAATACCCGCCGGACACCGGAGAGATGTACGCCTACTTCTTCACAGAGAGAGCAAAAAGGTACAAGAAGGGGTCAAGACCCAACCGCTGGACTCAGGATGGGAAGGGTGTGTGGAAGATCACAAATAAAATAGCGATGGTCAAAGATGGGTCAACGGTGATCGGGAAAAAGAACGTTCTTGGGTTCAATCTTCATGAGAATGAGGCGAAGACGAACTGGATCATGCATGAGCATATTTTAGACGAGAAGTTCGTGAATAATCTAGTCAACGATGTAGTGTTGTGTAGGATTCACGAAAGAAAGTCAAAGAAACAAGGGCTTGAAACTGGTGGATCTCGGGGTGATGACTTACATATGCCGGCGTTGCCGCCGTTTTTTTATTTCCAGCCGCCGCCGTTACATAATATGGCCGCCGCCGCCGCTCCCTTTTGTCAGTTTCACGATGAATTCCAAGGTTTGGTTACTAATCATAATATGGGGGCGGCCGGGTTAGAGAACGTGAAGACTAGCGTTGACTGGCCAAACCCTAATGGGGACTATATTATGAAGCTGATGAGTTCTAATACCGTCGCACCAAGCAATGCTTATACTTTGGAGGTTAAGAATAATGTTGGTGTCATGAATGGGGTGCAAGTATATCTTCCTCCGCCGCAGGAACCGCCGGCGATTGATGTGAGACCGGCTGCTACGGTGACCGGAGTAGATGGAGAGACGGCAGGGGATCATATGGCGACATTTGGTCAGTATGATGATGGTTTCGAATTGTGGGATATTGATCTAGAGGAGTTAGATAGTCTCTCCAATTTTTTGGATGATAACTTCATTGTCAATTCTCCCTTCCAATCTTCTCCACCTCCCAAGAGTAACTCCTAGCTAGCAGCTGATTTATCATTTATTAGTAATTGTAGGATCTTTGTATAAACTCGATCAAATTGAATTGAATTGAATTGATTTGAATTATATATATTGAATTGAGGTTAAATTAGTTAATTGTTGTACAACATCAATGTTATATATGCATGCTTCTTACATGCCGCATGCAGTGAAGAATGTTCTTACATGCTTCTTTTTATCAGCAATTTTGAAGCCCAGCTAGCTTAGACGTACTCAACTGAAGAATTATATACAATCGATCATATTAATATATCAAATTCGTACATGTTGTCCTTTTTTAGTTAGCTATTTTTGACATTTTCAGTCAATACTGATAAGATTTAGTCAAGCATTTTAACTAATATAGGTATCTAAATTTATACGGAGTAAGATTTACACTTTACTAATAGCTTAAGACCGGGGTCCACTGTTATTCAGGGCCACAAAGATTTAATATTACTATGTAATACTACGGAGTTATGTATTAGTTGATTTTAAGTTGTGTAATACTAATAGCTTAACACCGGAGTAGTAGTTATAAGTTAATTTTGTAGATGTTATGTATTATTATAGATCTCAAAAGGTGTATAGCCTTTAAATTGTCTAATTTGTGTAATTTAAACATTATAAAATTTAAATTTTATTGAACTATCTTGCCTTTCTGTATTTGAGTGTTAACTTTTTGTGTTCTTTCTTCTTTTAGGGGAGCTCAATTAGCCAATTAGAAACGGATCCTCCAATTGGCCAGGTTACCATTATAACAAACATATATGTACGGATCATTTAGTTACCTTGAATAATCGATTATACATATATCCTTATCTTGAATTGTTTTTATTTGGATTTTGCAACTTTGTAAAGACTTAACAGTAGTTTTTGAATATGTATATTTTAACTACTCCCTACGTATTGTAAAGATCACTACAATAGGATTTGGCACAATATTTAAGGAGGAAATAGTAGGGGTAATGAATAGTGTAGAAAAAATAGGAGAGAAGGTGAAAAAGTAGGAAAAAGAAGATAAAAATTAGAAAAAGTAAGGGTAGTTGAGTATTTTTAAAGGAAAAAACTTACCAAAAAGGGAAAGTGTAGCAAACTTTTAAATACATCCTAAAAGGGAAAGTGTAGCAATCTTTAGAGTACGGAGTATTTAATCGTTAGTGTGAACATTCAAAAATAATGGGCCGGTTCGGATTGTCATTGAGCCACTCTAAATATTGAGTACGTATTCAATAAATTGCATTCTTTGAATGTGTTAGTTTGAGGTCAAATATATTGAATTCTAGCTTTCTAGACAGGTTTTGAGATCATTGTTTTTTTAAAATGACAACTCTGGCTACTTCTTGGTCCCCAACTGCAAACTAATATGAGTAGATAATTGACTAGCCTTCTACTTCACTTGTGTATGCAAGTGAAGCTAAGCTAGCATACTTGAGTATTATGGTAATTAAGAAGCATACTTGAGTAGTATGATCTATGATGCATTCCAAAATGAAACCAAGCCTATTAGCTCAAAACTTGAAAAGCTGCATTAGGACACTAATGTCGTTATGTGCCCAAAATAACATTCAATACTTGCACTTATATGTAGTATAGTGTACTAATGATAACATTCATAGGGAAAAGAATATTTCTACTTTATGAAATTGTGATAAGGTGGGTTTTAATATTGTTTTGAATTTAATAGTAAACACTATATATGATGAATGACTTTTGTGATTTAATTTAATAGAGATGGAGACTAGATTTTGCTTATTTCCACTTAGTGAAATATTCTTTGATCCCGGTTATATGTTTAACTATCTTCCTCTTGAATATTCATTTGTAGAGTATCTTCAATTCATCAAGGGTAGTTGTTAATAATGAGAGGCATTTATTAATAAAACTTACTATCAAGTCAATATAGAACACACGTTTTATATTGACCCGATAATAGCATTAAAACTTTAGATGATATCAACTGAGATTGATAACCCCAACACAAGCAGGTTATTGGTTTAATCGATATAATTTATCTCTCTTAGATCATTAACCTAACCATTAGACACATGCATTAATAATTCAATGTTACACTACCATTGAAAGGACCGAGCAAATAACAAGTGTATCTACTTGTTGATCAATTCTAATAATAATTAATATTTGGAAACATAACTAGTTGATTATTTAAGTAATGCTCAAATATCGATAAGAGATATGAATAAGAATGTAATTACTATTTAGGACAAATGGTTAACCTGCAAAAAAGCAGCCTTGTTATTCCCAAAAAAGTGACAAATGCAAGAGAGATCATCATGGAAAATGCTCTGAACATGAAGGCTATTCATCTCCCTTTTAAATATGGGGGAATTTGACTTTGCACCCCACATTTTGGATGATATTGGACTTTGCACCCCATTTTTTAGAAACTTTGATTTTGCATACCATTTCACTTCAAAATCCTTTGACTTTGCACCCCATTTAGAAATTTTCCTTCACAAATGTTATATGATAGGGTGCAAAGTCAAAGGTTTTTAAAAATGGGATGAAAAGTCCAATATCACCCAAAAAGTGGGGTGCAAAGTCCAATTCTCCCTTTAAATATCTAGGGGTCCAAATTCATCGAGGCATCACAAGAGCTAATCACTCATTTGGTGAAGCACTTTGAATCCAAACTCAGTTCTTGGAAAAAGAAAATTTTTAGTCAAAGTGGTCGTTTAATCCTAATCAAACATGTTCGTGCTTCTATCCCTATTCATCATCTTGCTGCAGCTAACATTCTAAGATCTGTCCAGATTATTTTGAATAGAATAATGGACAGGTTCTTCTGGGGCTCTACTGATTCCAAACAAAAATATCATTGGACAAATTGGAGTAAAATTGCCAAACCTACAAGTGAGGGAGGCTTAAATATTCGTTCTTTTTCTGATATTCAAGCTGCTTTTCATCTTAAATCTTGGTGGGCTTGGCGTGAGGGTTCCTTTTTTTGGGCCTAGACCATTTGATTCCCCAGTTTGGAAGCAACTGTGTAAAGTACGTGACTTGGGTGAAGATAGTATTGAAGAAGATGATAATCACAAACTTATCTGGAAATCAGAGCCCCTGGGAGCATTTTCTCTTGCTCCGGCTTATGAGCTGGTTCATGATTCCTCCTCAGTTCTATTCTCGTTAGTTTCAACAGGCTTGGCATCCCCACCAAAAGTTGAATATAAAGCTTTTCTTATGGAAACGGTTGAATCATTATCTTCCTTTTCCTGAGAATTTCGGAAGATTTTCTATCCAGCTGGCCTCTCGATGCCCCATCTGTCTATGTGCTGAACAATCCCAATCACATTGCCTTTACTCCTGCAACAAAGTCAGAGGCATTTGGGACTATTTTATGGGGACTCTGTCAATTCTAAGAACTGACAATCCTAATATTGGACATATGTTTTCTGTTGGTGGCTTTCAGCAAAAGAGAACTCTTTGAAGGGTATAATTGTTTGGTTTATCTGGAAAGCTTACAACGCTACAGTGTGGGAAGATCAAACTTTTGAATCAGGAAAAATTATCTTTAACATCAAAGAGTACTGTAAGAAATGGATATTTACGCTCCCTAAAATTATCTGGAAGTACATCCATCCTTTTACTTTGAGGCGGCTCTCTGTTGATGCGGCTTTCAAAGATGGATGTTGTGCAGGTGGAGCGATTCTCTAAGATGAAAGGGGGGACATGATTGCTGGTTTTTTCACGCCGATTCGAGCAAAGACCATCCTTCAAGCGGAAATGTAAGTAGTTCTCACTGCCCTGAACTGGTGCCTTAAGGGGTGTTTGGAAATGATTCTGCTTCTTTTTTAAAAGCAGAAGCAGAATCAGAATCAGTTTTCAGAAGTTGATACCCCCAGCTTCTAAAAAACTGATTCTGAGAGTAAATTAGAGCTCCAGAAGTGCTTCTGGAATTTCACCCAAACACTTTAGCTTCTGCTTCTGCTCCCTGAAGGAGCAGAATCAGTTTTGAAAATCAGATCCAAACACCCCTAAATCTGGCTTCTCTAAACTTCAGCTTGAATCAGATTCAGAGATGACAGTTAAGCTCCTTATGCGGAAATAGAGTATACCAGCCTTTCTTCAAGCTGATGCGTTAGTTCAAAGACTTTGTGCGTCTCTTGATGTCCGAATTTAGTCACACACTCTCTTGCTCAGCTTGGGATTATTTCGGATGGTTTTAGAAAGTTCACTTCTATCAATAAGGTTCCGGATTCAATTGTCACTCTTATTAATCTGGACAAAAATGGAATTCCCAATTTTAGACAATAGATTTGTTTTTATTACTTTGTCCCATTGAATTCTGCAAACTTTCTTTTTTGGGTTGTCCCAAAAAATCCTTCCAAATTCCACTTTTACAAAAAATATGTGGTTCACATTCATTCACCTTTTTTCTTACACAACTACAATTAGGGGTGGGCAAAAATCCCGGTCCCGGTGTTCTAAATCGAAAAATCCCGATACCGTTCCGAAACTATCCCGATCCATTTAGGACGCAATTATTTCATCCCGAACAGGTCCCGTTCCGATATTATTCGGGACGAGACTGGGATAACTATAATATCATGTCCCATCCCGGTGTCCCGTTTGACATTAATATGTTATTTTAAATTTCTAATGCTATTTAATAGCTAAACCCAATTAAAACTTTCTAGTCCTTAGTCTCCCTAGGGTAATTTTATCTAATTTCATGTCTCTCTTAGTCTCGTTTCTTTTGTTTCTCTTGATTAAAATTTGTTTAATTAGTTCTCAATGCAACTACTACTCCAAATTATAGTGTTGTTATAGATTTATTATTTTCCAAAATAACTACAGGAAAATATATATTTAGTGTCTTTATAGATATGATATTTAATTTAATGTGGCATTCAAAAATTACAAGTGTACTACAAAGTATAAAAAATATTTTGAACTACTATTCTACTAGAGGAAACACAAGATTAGGGGACCAAAAAAAATTACAAGACAAAAACTAAAAAAAGTTCTTTAAAGTTTTACTTAACTTTTTAGGGAAGCTAAATTTGCAAAAATAGTTACGTCTTTATTTTAATGTTATGCTTATTTTTATATCACATTTCACAAATGCATATTTTTATGGGACACCCCGAACCGTCCCGGTTTTTCTCGGGTTGTCCCGGTCCCGTTTTAAATGGGACAACATTGGGATAAAGACTTATCCTGTACCGTACCGTTATTATAAAACCGGGACGGGATCGGGATAGGTCAAATCCCGAACCGTCCCGAACCGTGCCCACCCTAACTACAATCATACATTTCCACTTTAATCTCACTTTCTAAATTTGCGAGCAAGGTTTGACTTGGAAGAATTTATTGGGACGGAGGTAGTATCTTAATTTTATCGTTATTTATCTAGCTTTTTGGAAAATTGTGTAAGGTATAATACATCCCCTGAATATACCTAATTACTGTTGCCGGCACTGTTTGGAACTGGCCCGGCTGGGCCCGGTTCGGCCCATTTTTTGTTTTTTTTTCAATTTTTTTTTGTTTTTCCCGGGTTGGGCTGGGTGTTTGGGGGGGGGGGGGGGGGGGTTGGGGGTCGGGTGTTAATTAGAAAAACAAAAAAATAATAATAAAGAATTGAACCGGCCCGACCCGAGACCAGCCGGGCCCCGTGAAATCCCGTGAAATGTAAATTTTTTGATTGAGTAGTTTTTTGATACAAAGTGCAATTTTTTAACATTGAATATATTACTTTCTTGATATTTACATTTCGGCACTATATATTTTCCTAATGTCACATTTTTATCTAAAAGTCTGTCAAATCAACTTTGTCATTAAGGCTATGTTTGGCACACAAAAGCCTCTAGCTTCTAGCTTCTCTATTCTTTAAAAAGACGTTAAAAGACTCTAGTTGCATGTTTGGCATGACATTTTTTAAGAGCTTTTCAAAAATTAAAAGATCTTTTTTGAGATGCTACCGGGTGTAGCATCTGAGAAAAGCTCGTGACTTTTAGTATTAATTAGTCCTAACACCTTGTATACCAAACCAAACTAAATCAAACAGTCGGCTTTTTACCGAACAGCTATCAACTTTTCTTTTTAAGATCTTTTCAGTCACTAAAAGCTAACAGTTACTAACACTACAACATTTTAGAGCTACAGCAACACCAATTTTTTCAAACTCATAAAATTGTTGCTTTATGTTATGATTGGCTACATTTTTTAAGAATGTTACTGAATTAGATAATTTTTTATGTTTTTATAGTGGGCAACGGGTTTTACTTTTTGATGCCGTTTCCACACTTAAAAACTGTAGCCGTTTAGGCATAAAAAAAACTGTTCCGTTTATAATGACTTTATAATCGATTTTTATTCATATCCTCTTCTCCCGTCATATGTCTCTTAAAACCTAAATCCGCCATATCGAGCTTCCCCACATTGTTGCCGCCGCCGCTCGGGCTCAAACGCTTATCGGCGTCTCCAGTCGCCTGACGCATCTGAGCGCCTTCAGTGACTCTAGACGCTCCTCCACGCTGTTCGAGAGGCTGTGGCGGTGCGGCGATTCCAGAGGAAGTGTGAGCAACTCCACCACTCCCATTTCGAGTTCCCTGAGTTCCTTCCGCAGCTTTGTGTACCTTCTCGACATTGCCGATTAATTTTTTATGATGAATCACTCAATCAGATAGCTTGTGAAATGAAGGCGGTTCGCTTCTCATCAGATAGACGACTGAGGATTCAGTTCGCTTCTCACCAGTTTGTGGAGTTCGATTTTCCAGGTAATTAACTAGTTTCATGCTCAGCAACATTTGTAATCAGAGAATTATTTTTAGCTGCAGCTTGCTTCAGCCTTTTATCAAAATAGGACTACTTATCAATTTAATGGCTGAATTAAAAAAAATCAGCTCTTCATGAGCTGAAATTTTGATTGAGATTTTTCTTTTGTTATTTCAAATAATATACTCCGTACTTCGTATTTTGTACGAGTATTTGTTTTCAATGATTTTTAAGATTCTTGTTATAACATTAGGAGCACACTTTCACCTTTTAGTTAACCAGATTGTTATATCTCAAATCTATCTCATAACAAATGGAAGCTTTGTGGATATCTTTGATTCGAATTAGCTATTGTCTTATTTTTCTAAAAAAATCTATCAATAAAGGTTGGCTTCTTATTTAATTTCTTTCTGGCAAGTCGAAATCTTTTTCTCTTCATCTGGAGTTCAGCCACAACTACAACTTCGTCATATATTTGTTTTTCAAAACTAGTTTGTCACTTTTGGCTTTGATTTTTTATTATGGAAGTGGTCTAAGTTTTCTTTGTGGAAAATTGTTTGAAATTACATTTGTTAGCATTAACACTTGCAGGGAAATGAATCATGTCACTAGTTTTGGTCTTGATTTTCAAGCTAAGTCTAGTGGTGAACTACTTCAAGAGTATAAACTTAAGGTAGAAAATGTAATAGCTTTCGGGAAAAACAAGGAAGGTGCTTCACATCAAGAGCTACAGAAACATTTCACGTTTAATCAAGAAAACGCTCAGCTGAAGGAGTTTAAGTAACTTTCTGTTCCTATTTACTGATCTTTAAAATGAAATTTCAATGCATCTTGAGTATATCTTTCTTCTTGTAGGTTATTAACACTAAAGGAGGTGCTTCAAATATTACTCAGCAAGAGGGAAATGTTATAGGTTTCGGAGAGTGTCTGTAATAATCTAAAGAAGCAAGAACCTGATTGGATTCTCAAAATTGATATTGTAGAAGGAGATAGGTTGGTGGTAAACTTCGACATTTATGTTCACTCGTTTCTGCTAATTATGTTCATCTTTTGCTGCATTTCTTAAGAGAATCATAGACTAATCTGAAGTCGAGTTGGTTAGAAAAGACATGAGACCAACAGTTGTTGAAAACTCTGTGCACTTATTGGATGAATCAGAATCTGAAAATGAATCTGATTTTGACTAATCTCTTTTGGATTAGCTTGTTGAAGTGTTATTGTACACTCTATGAGAGACCAAATTGTAACTCTGTGACAAATCAATTTTTATCTCCTAATGAAAACGTTCTCTAATTAGCACTATTTGGATCATTTCATATGTCCATTTTCTGTTACCACATATGCTCTTGTTATTCAATAAAATAAAATGGTCTAAGTTTGTTTGTGGATAATGGTTTGAAATAACATTTTTTAGCATTGACAGTTGCAGGAAAATGAACCAAGTGGCTGGTATTGGTCCTGATTTTCCAGATAAGTCTAGTGCTGAACTACTTCGTAAGTATAAGCTTAAGGCAGAAAATGTCACTGCTTTCAGAAAAAATAAGCAAAGTGCTTCACATCAAGAATTACAGAAACATTTTACGTCTAGTCCAACAAAAACTCAGGTAAAGGTGCTTAAATAACTTTTGTGTTCCTATTTATCGTGTATCCTCATCACTGTAACTTGCCATTTTGCCAAAAAGAATATTTGGACATTCACTATAACTTGCCAAAACAACAAAACTAAGTGGGCTGAACCTACATAAGTAGGTCACGGTTATGCATGATGCCTTATAACTTGCCAAATATGACACTCCTAGACCAAATTCTGCTAAATATGGTCGTATGGTAAGTTACCATAGTCAGCACTCGTAAGATAGAAAACTCGAGCTTTGAGAATTAAGCACAGTTAGTCAGTTACTATTATTATTAAAAGATTTTAAACTATAATCTCACTTCAGAATATAAAGTGATTAACCAGGATGATATTGGGGGGTTTGAGGATTAAAAATCGTAGCCATCAGTTTTTTAAACAATTTAGTATGTTGTACGAGTACTTATTTGTCCCACTGCTCTCATTCTCCTGGCAGGTTATTAATACTAAAGGAGCTGCCTCAAGTTTGTCTCAAGAAGGAAAAGTTTCAGATTTTAGAAAAAACAAAGGAAGTGCTTTAAGTAAAAAATCACAGAGATGTGTTCCCTTTAAGATTATTAGCAACATTGGAGGTGTTTCAAATCTAAGTCAGCAAGGTATGAATCTGAATGGTGCAAGTATTCAAAAGTCAATGCAAAAGGTGAACCATATGAAAAGACCTCAACCGGGATCTATTTCAATCCAACATAAAAAGAAAAATCAGAGTAAGGAATTCTTGAGCAATAGAGTTGAAGTCGATAAAACAGACTTAATTGAAGTTTCTTTTAAAAAGAATATTGCTAAATACACGACCAACACGCCTAAGCGACAACAAAGGCCTATACTAACAGAAGAGGTACAGGAAACACCGGAAGAGCAATGCTTTAAGAAGAAAAAGGCTGATCCAAAATGTCCTGTGATGTCACTAGATGAGTTTATTGATAAGAATAAGAAACAAATTGAGCTTGATGAATCAGGATCTGAATATGGGGAAGATATTGATATGAACTTGGAATTTGAAGGGGACATGAACCATGACAGTGAAGGCATTGAGGAAAATGCACATACAAGTAATATCATGACATCATTTTTTTGTTATAAATTTTTCTTTAACTAGCATTTTTTAATTTCTATCAAATATGATTAAATGAACTATTTATGTCTTATCAATTAGGTGCAAAATCAATAAGAAAACGTGGAAAGACATTGTGTCTAAAGGTTCATGCACGAGGGCTCGAAGATAGAAAGGATATCATTTTAAATGTAGAAGGGCAACCTATTGGTCCAGATGAACAAACCCTTTCTGAACTGAGCAGTTTTTTGGGAACAATAGCAAGAAGTTCAGATTTGTGTCCTCTTATTTATACTAATTGGAAGGCTGTCGACAAAGGCCCTATATGGGCTTATGTTAATGTACTGATTAAAACATCTAATATTTCTTCATAATTATTTCTTTAGATCTCTTTTAAATTATTTCTTTTGTTTGCAGAAAAAATACCATATTCAAGACAAAGGGAAAAAATATGTGTATGCTGTTATTAATGATGCTTGGAGGCGGCATAAATTCTCCATCAAGAGGGATCATTTTACTAAGTACAAACGCTTGCGTGATCGTCTGAAAAACCGTCCTAAGGAGATACCAGAAGAACATTTCAAAGCATTGATAGAGTATTGGAAGCTAGACACAGTAAAGGTAAAACATGCTTTCAATTTAGCATTTAACTAGTTGGTACACATTTATCAGTTAGTAAATATGTATTCCTTGGACCATTATTAGGAAATTAGTCATCGAAATGCAAAAAGTACAGCTCAACAAAAATGGAGGCATCGAGTTGGTCCGATAAGCTTTGCTCGGATAAGGGAAAGATTGGTATTCCAATTTCTGAATTCTGAAATAAGATATTTGTTTATTAAATTGCAGCATGTTATTGATCTTATTACTTCCTTGTATAGCGTGCAAAAAAGCAGAACAAAGAGTCTCCTACTCGAGCTGAAGTGTTTATTGAAACTCGACAACCTAAGAAAGGAAAAAAATTGGATCCTGAAACAGATGGTGCAATTGTAAGTTTTGCTCAACTGTTTTATCTCTTTTAAAGAATGATTAAAATGACTTATTATGTTGCACTTCCAAATATGCTAGATAAAGCTTCAAGATTTGATGGTAAATTCTGAAAAGTCTTCGGAAGAAGCATTTCAGAGTGTGTTTGGAAATGAGAAACCAGGGAGAGTGCGATGCCATGGAAGAACTACAACACGTTCTCTCTTGAAAAAAAAGGAAGAATTGGCGGAAATAGAAAAAAGGCATGCCAGTGAGGTCAAACTTTTAAATGATAAAATTCAAGAGTTGGAGGAAAAATGTGCAAGACAAATGGCAGCAACAGAGGAAAAAAATCGGCAGGAGATGACATCAATGGAGCAAAAATTTCAGTTTATTCTAACCATGTTAAATCCTAACAAGTGTGAAATTGATTTAGATTCCTTTGCAGCTTTTCTATCAAGAACGACGGGCATTAACAATGGTTTGCGTTCTTCTACATCAACTCATGCTCCGTGTAATAATGAAGTAAGCTTTCCTTTGACTTTTAATAATCTTCTTACTATTCAACACATAAAAAGATAGAATCAACATGCTGGTGCAGTTTTTAAAATTGTAAGTTAGTTTTTGGTTTCATAGTTTTTGTAGCAACACATGATGTTTTTGATACTTCAGTTAAATTGTATACTTGTGAATAACTTCACATGATAAACCTAATTAATATGGAGATAAGTAAATATATAATACCTAAGCACTTGCTTGGATAATGTGCTTCTGTCTTGCTTGGATTTTTACAAAGATTTGATTTTGACATCTGGTTTTGGAATCCTGTGTGTCCCTTCTACCATTGTTCATTGAATTGTTCAAGTTCATTTTTGGGTAATTCTTTATGACTCCTGAGAAGTAAGCAGATTATTTGAAAAAACAAATTATAGCAAAATGTTTTTCTCTTTGCTGAGAAGTAAGAAGATGATAATATGTTGCTTTTGTTGACTCCTCCTCAAGTTAACTGAAGAGGTCCTTTTCTATAGTATTCTTATCTACCTTGCACTGCTTATTTAACATCTTCCTCAATGCTTTTCTTGATATGTGCCTCTTCGGTTTTGGATTAGCTGGTTGAAACAGTTTGCTTGAGCTGAGAGAGGATAAAGGCAATGATTTTGTCTGTTTTTCCCTTGAACTCTGGAAGGGTTGGGTGGGGCTGTGGGGTCATGTGATTTGAATGTATTGTGTCAAAGCATTCTTGTGCTAACTTCCCATGAAAATGTTGAATAAATGTCTTCAAATCTTTTTACTCATAGTTGAAAGTTCAATATTACAAGCAAAAGCACATAGAAAGGACTACAACTCAAACAAATAATCACATTTCATTCTCTCAAATGTACCAGCCCCTTAAGTAGGTCTCTTTTTTATTTGAGCTTAATTATGTGCTTCATAATTTTATTCGTTTTTATGTAGATGGATGATGGCATTGATGAAGAAAGTGAAGATGAAGATGAAAACAATGATGCTTGAATGTGATTTGATGAAATTTTATTTCCATATGTTGTTTTCATTTTAAGTTCGGAGTTAAGACATTACTATTGTGATGATTTACACTTTAAAGACAATGGATCATGGATGTTGATTAATAGGGTATTGTTGAACCATGATTTGTGAATGATTATTGTTGAAATGAAATTCTACCTTTTCCCCATTGCAAAGTATTTCATATGCACTTTTTAAAAGATTGACATTTCAAATTAGTAATACCGTGCTTTGTAGCAATGTTTGAAGAAATGGTTGGAATCTTTTTGGCAACAGTTTCTTTTAGTTACTATTGATAGAAACATATAAAAAAATGTTGCCCAATATGATTTTAAAAAAATGTTCTCTAAGATATACTCTTTGAGTACAGTTTTTCCATTGTGTTGCCTTTAATTATAAAAATGTTCTCTAAAGTATAGGCAACATCTTACGATACAACATTTTTAAAACTGTTGCCAAAAACAATGGCAACAGTTTTTTCGCAATAGACAACGGTTTTTCAACGTAGTAGTAGATCCAAAATGTTGTAGTGTAAAAAGCTCACAAAAGTATCTTTTCAGCTAGTTGTGCCAAACATACCCTAAAAATGACTCATCACCTTACATATTTTGAATGGCGAAATATATAAATAATTATGTAGTCTTCAATAACGGTTTAATTATGACGATTTTGTTAGCGTCATCATTCAAAATTCTAGAAAATCTATTGAAATTGTCACTATATGTTAGCTTTTGTTGAAAATTTAAGATTTTGTCATTTATTGTGAATTATTGTGACAAAATGCATATTTAGATAACAAAAAATTGATATAAACGCGATACATTTGACGTCACCAAAGCTGATTAATAATGTTGATGAATTGCTAAAACGTCATTAAATGTTAATTATTTGGTGACGAATCCTAAAATTGTCACATGTATCTAATAGCACTACCACGAAGTTACAGTGATGATCATTGTGACGCTCAAAATTTGTCGTATAAAAGTTCTAGTGACAAAAAATGAATTTTACATGATGAAAAAATTGTCACATTATGTTAAGATTCTGATAGTGGTGATTTGGAGGAAGATGTATATGTGAAGAAGCCAGAAGTTACTAGACAAGAATAATCCAAATAAGGTCTTTAAACTTCATAAAGTCTTGTATAGATTAAAACAAGCACCAATTATCATGGAACTTGCCACCTTATGGTCAAGTGGTGACACTATACATAGTTTCAAACTTCAAATGGAGAAAAGGTTTAAGATGAGTGACCTTGGTTTAATTTGTTAAGTTACTATTTTGGGATAGAAGTGCAAGAGAAGTGTGTGTGATAGTATTAGTCTATGTCACACATGATATGCTAAGAAAATACCTGAAAAACATGGAATGGCTGAATGCAATCTTTGTTATATTCCCAAGAAAATACTTGAAAAACATGGAATGGTTGAATGCAATCCTTGATATATATATATATTCCCATGGAACAAAAAAAAGGTTGACCAAGCAAGAAGGAGACCATGTTCAGAACCCACATTCTGCAGGAGTATCCTAGGAAGTTTGAGGTATCTTGTTAATACACGACCAGACTTGGCCTATTCAGTAGGAGTGATAAGCAGATATATGGAAACATAAACCTCAATTCATATGGATGCAGTGCTACAGACTTTGAGGTACATCAAAGACACACTGAATTTAAGTTGTGTATACAAGAAACAGCAGTCACGTGATGAATTATATGGGTAAAATGACAGTTATCTAGCCGGAGATGTACGTTGATGACAGGAAAAGTATCACATGTATTGCATATTTTCTTGGTGAAAAATCCAATCACTTGGGTGGCACAAAAACAAAGGGTAGTGGCTTTATCCTCATGTGAAGCAGAATATATATCAAGAGATCTGGCTCTCAAGATTAATGAAGAGTCTACAATAATTCATGGAGAAAACACCAACATTATATGTGGATAACGAATCTGCTATCTCCCTAGCAAAGAATCCAGTATACCATGACTCTACAAGAAAAGTGTTCAATTGTGACAAGAGATACCGTAGTTAAAAGACCAAAAACTGTCATAGAAGAGTGGGGGTGGACTCGGGCCGGTTTGGGCCTGGGCCCGGCCGGGCCTCGGTTCATGAAAGGGGAGGCCCGGAACCGGCCCGGGTAACCCCCGGGTCCGGTTAGGGCCGGGCCGGGCCTCGGTTCAATTTTTTTTTTTTTTGGCTTTTCCTAATTAACCCCCAACCCTCCCCCCTCACCCCCTGTTGGGATATATTATCCCGACCTATTACTGTTCAGGAGTCCAAGACTTTACGTAGTACGGATCCCAATCAGTAAGGCCCATTTTAGCCTATCAGGCCTGTTTCGGCCTTTGGGCCGAGGTTGGCCCATTCGGCCCGTTAGGGTGGAGAGCCCCCTTTCCCCCTATTCCCTATAAATAGGAGGTTTCCCTCCATGTAAAAGGATCCTTTTTTAGCTTCACCTCCCTCATTCTTTTAGACTTAGCTCAATACTCCATTAATGGGAGCTTGTACAATGTAATTGTGAGGAGAGTCCTAATGAGAAAGAGAGGGCTTGGACATTAGCCTAAAAAGTCCCGTGGTTTTCTCCCTTTCGGGTTTCCACGTAAAAACTGAGTTGTTCATACACATTTATACATATATTTACTATATCGTGTTGGATTAAACTCAACACTGGCGCCGTCTGTGGGAATCTGTCCAAAAAGATTCGTGTGTTCTACTGTTCTTGAGTTTCTACGAAAAATTCATACGAAGCGGACTGATTCCAGCGAAAAAGAAGAAAAAATTCTAGGGAAAATGATTCTGGGAAGCGAAGAAGCTACGGATTCTGGGAGTCCGAATCTAGTTTCTCTTTTTTACAGATCTGGATTGGGGCTGCCGGAGCCGCCGCAACTGCCGTCGTTCCCACCGCCATGGACCTTCCACTGGGTCCAGCTGCGTCAGGGGAAGCTCGCCGCAGCATCCCAGATATTTCCGGCGGCCACCGCCTGAGTCGCACACCGCCGCTCGTCAACAGCGGTCTGAAGCTGACGCAACATGGGGGTTCTATCAGTTAAGAGCCTCATGAATTCCACCATTAATGGTGGTTTTGAGCTCGGAAGAGGTATAGTCGGTAGTTTGGTCGAGCTTCCGCCGGAGACCGGCTCTTCTGGCCACCCTTACTCTGCAGCAGGTTCCATCGCCACCCTCGGTCGGCGACTCAGCGGCCGACCTGTATTGTTGGCCTTTGGCAGGGGTTATCCTCTGCCTCTCCAAAGATGCTCCTCGCCTGGCTGTTAGCAGGCCACGTACGAGGGCCAGAATCTCAAAAGGGAGATAGCAGTGAAAGACGAGCGGAGCACTTTTGCATTATTTGGGTGAATGGGGAGTCAGCCGAACTGCTCAAGAGATTAAGGGTCCAATTGGTAGATGAGCTCATTGTTCCAGCCCGTATGAGAACATAAAGCTTGGTCAATGGGAGGATTTGGAATAATTTTGACCAAGTCAAAATTGGCAAATAGGGAGCAAACCTGACAATACTCCACTGGCCGAAAACATCTTTGAAGCTAAGTGCCCTATTCTTGAACTTTGAATTTATACTCCGTAATTGTTTTGAAAAATTACTAGTATTGTCATTATTTAGTTAAATTATTTTATCACCATTATTTATTAGGGATTAAAACCTCCCAAAATTAAATAATGCCGAGCGGCGCTCTTGTGATAAATAGTTTAACAGTCATTTAAATTTAATGACTGTTGTTGTGGGCCTGTCGGCCCGCTCCCAGTCGGCTTTAATTAGCGAGCGGAGCGTACCTGAATATTACCTGTTACACCACTATTATTTATTAGGGATAAAAGTGTCCCGAATTAAATAATGTGGAGCAAAGCTCTAATGATGGTTGGTTCAACCAACTTTTTTATTAAATATTTAATTGTTGGTGGGTCCGGTTAGCCCACTCCCGGTCGGCTTGATTAAGCGATCCGAGCGTCTCCAGTAGGGCAATGCCCCGACGACGCATTTTAATTTGAGGGTTGCACGTTTGTCCGCACGGCACTACGTGCCCGATCGACGATCGTACCCCAATACCATCTACGCCATTAGGCGCGAAGTGACTATTGCCGAACGTGGCCTGTGGGGCCCGAGGGCACAAAAGCACTCAACCTCGTTTTTCCGAGGGCAGTGCGACCGACTTGGGTCTGAGTTTGAAAACTCACAGACCGATGAATATCTCTACGCGACGTTCGGCGGGCTGCTAATTGGCCCCGCCGCGAGCTGCTACGTCCCTTAACCTCGCACGATGAGCCGGGCCGAGGGTCACGACGACCCATAGGCCGGTAATCATGGATGTTAAAGAGAAGCCAAACAGATGGCTATGTGTGTATATATATTGTCGGGCCATGCGGCCCGTTACCATGCTTATTGTGCAGCTAAAATCACTCTACGTGCTCGAGCGAAATGATTAAACGACGCTCGGCCTGAGTCTTGAAGACGTTCAGGGCCAGCTAAAGAGGAGACCATCACGGCTGAAGACCGTGAGACAAGCATCTCCACCTAGAGGCCGAGGGCCTAGAGAAGACCACTACGGTTGAGAACCGTGGGACGAGCATCCCCACCCCAGAGACCGATGGCTCGGGAAAGAACACCTTGTAGCCGAGGGTCTAGAAGGGACTACCACGATGGAGAATCGTGAGACGGTCACCCATCATTCCGAGGCCGAGGGCCTAGAGGAGATCGTCACGTCCGAGGGCCGTCTAACACCATCATACCATGACCGGCCTCTCGGCGCGGCATGTTCATGTTTGAAGACCGGCCTCGTCCCCGCGATGCGCGGACGAGGACCGTTGCTTGATGCTCAGATCGGCTTCATACGGCCGACACCATTATACCACGACCGGCCTCTCGGCTCGGCGTGTTCATCTTTTGAAGACCGGCCTCGTCCCCACACCTCGCGGACGAGGACCGCTGCTTGGTTCTTTCAGGTCGGCCTATCATTGCCGACACCATTATATCACGACCGGCCTCTCGGCTCGGCGTGCTTATCTTTTGAAGACCGGACTCGTCCCCGCTCCTCGCGGATGAGGGCCGCTGCTTGACTCTTGTAGGTCGGCCCCTCATTGCCGACATTGTCACATCATGTTCGGACTCTCATCGCCGACATCATCATACCACGACCGGCCTCTCGGCTTG